GCCTCAGAAACCCAAGGAGGGGTAGCTATGAGTCGGGCCGACTCGAGGGCAGACAACAACAACATAGCTGTGAGTCAGGATCGACTCAATGGCAGTGAGTTTGGTTGTTTTTTTTCATAGCTAGTCTTTATCAGGAAGCTCTGGTAGCATAGTGCCCCTAAGGCACTTGACTGCTAACCAGAAGGCTTGTGATTCAAACCCACCAGCCACTCTCAGAAGGAAGGTTGGGCAATCTACTTCCGTAGTGATACTGCCTCGGAAACCCAAGGAGAGGTCATTATGAGTCAGATCTGACTCCACGGCAGTGGGTTAGATTTGGTTTATGTACTATATTGTAATAGTCATAATGGTGACCCTCATGAGTGTCTTCTCAAGGCTATCCAATGACAATTTTTGTAATAATGGAAATGTTCTATATCAGTGCTGTCCAATACAGTAGCTATTCTTTACATGTGAGTGTTCAGCTCATGTGACCGAAAAACTGAATTTTAAATTTTATTTAATTAAAATTTAAATAGCCATGTGTGACTAGTGGCTATTATACCAGACAACATTATCATTATCAAGGAAAGAATACATTATTTTTATTACAGAGCCAATGATTTGTGAGTGCTGTATATTTTGTTACATTTTAATTATCTAAAATTTATTTAATTCATGTGACATATATAAATTTATATAACTGTAAGTTAAGTGTATGCTAAATTACACAGAATTGCTCACTATTTTGGGTTTACTTTACTAGGATAAGGCACTTGACTGCTAACCAGAAGGCTGGCAGTTCAAACCCACCAGCCACTCCTCAGAAGGAAGATTAGACAATCTACTTCTGTAGTGATACTGCCTCGGAAACCCCAAGGAGGGGTTGCTGGGAGTCGGATCTGACTCGATGGCAGTGAGTTTGGTTTGGTTTGGTACTAAGAAAGTGATGTTAATTTTGAACAATGGGGGATGGGGAATGGTGCTCAGAAAAATGTTAGAAATTGTTTAGTGAGATTTTCGAGGAAAAAATTCTGGAGAAAAGTTTGGATATTGTGAGTAGTTCCTAAAATGTGTTACTATTTTTCTTTTCTGATTACAGGAAAGCAAAGGCTATGACTTTGAATCTGAAACAGACACAGAAACAATTGCAAAGCTTGTTAAGTATATGTATGACAATCGGGAAAGTCAAGATACCAGTTTTACTACATTGGTAGAGAGAGTCATCCAACAATTGGTATTAAACAACACTTTTTATTGTTATTTGAGTAAAAGTTTACAGAGCAAATTCATTTTCTATACAGCATTTCACATACATTTTGTCTCATGACATTGCAGTTTCCCACAGTACATCAGTTCTCTTCCCACTTCTTCCCCATAGTTACCTCTTCCCTGTATCCTTCCCTCGATGCATTCCTGCCCCCTGAGCTGTGTCTACCTGTGTATATACAACCCTTCTATTCTCCCATGATTGATTTCTTCAAGGAATGTTATCTACCTAATGTAAATGTTCAGCTCATATGTCTGTGTTTTTAAATATCACTTTTAAAGATAATTATTGCCAACATTAATTACAATGAACTTTCTTAAGTTTGATAAGAGGGAGCTATGCTATTTTCTTGAATAGTTTGGGCTTTTATAAAGTTAAAAACCATATATATATATATATGTATATATATATATATATAAAATTTATTTTGACTTGAGAGACTTTTTAACTTACTGCCCTCCTCCCCACCCCCAAATGTACTTTTTTCACTATAGTTTATTATCATGGGAATTAAAAGTTATTGAATCAAGCAATTTGTCTTAAAAACTGTGAATGTACACAGGCACATACACTAAAAACTATGCATGCACACAAGCACATACATAGCCCACACAAACATGTACATAATACACACAAAGAATTATCGCTTTTTTTGCTTCCTCCTTACCCTGCTGTCCTTTCCAAGCCAATTACATGACATGAGGGTAGTTTTAGAAAAATCCAGATTCTTTTGTCCGGGATAGTGTCTGCATGTCTCAATAGTCAACTCCTTGTTATTCTTTATGGGAACTTTTCCTTGGCCCTGCACCTCTGTAGAAAAGTATTTCCCAGTCCACCAAAAAAGCAGTATTCTTTTTGATCTCATCCCTTTTTCCCTGATTAAAGAGTAGAGAGATAGAGATCTGCAGAAGTCCAAGTACATAGTGATGCCCACATTCCCCTTTCTCACTCATAACTCTTGCCTTTCCATTTAAAAGCCTTTTATATCTCCTGCTAACATCCAACCCTCACCTCCTCCCTCCTCCCTCCTCCCAAGTCTTAAAATGTCTGCAGCTAAAGGAGGAATCAATGAGAATGGAGACAACAGAGGCCTGTTCCTTCCCTTTCCACAAGGCAGAGTATGTGCCTTCCCAGCTTTTCTCATTTCTAATAGGATTTCCTTTCTACTCGTTATATAATCCAGTTTGTGTTCTGTGGTGGTACCTTAACTTTCCTTCCTTCTTGTTTCTCTTTTATCCATTCCTTATCTCCTAGGGTCTATCCCTGAGAAGATATTTTGGTGTGCATGCTAATGTATGTGATTAATGTTAAGGTCAAAAGAATGGAAGTTATCAGTGTTATACAAGTACTAGGCCAATGAATGAGTTTTAGTTATTGAACTTGGGATCTTTTCTAATCCTGCCCACTTTTACTAATTCATAATGTGAGAGAGAAGGTATCTGTTGTGAAATGTTGGTAGCATGTACAAAGGTGACTCATAAACTCGTCTGTCATCTACATATTTGAAATAGACATATTTTGAAAGATGGTTTGGTTAAAAGAATGGAGTTTGGATACACCAGACTGAATATTTAGATTTGTTGAAAAAACGAGTGCAAAAGAACAGTGCATGAGCAAAAAATTTCTATGCTGAAGTCAGCATGTTTGAGACATTTCACTTTTGATAATTGATTATAATAAATACTGTTGAAACATTTTTTTTCCCCTCCTTAGGAAGGTGCTTTTGCACTTGTATTTAAAAGTGTTCATTTTCCTGGACAAGCAGTTGTCACAAGGTACATACAAATTTAATAATCACTAATAATTCTGTGTACTTTGAAACATTTGGGATATAAGTTTATTCATTATAAAAGACCGTATTTATTTTACGTGCTTTTTCTTGGCTATTTTACCACTTAAGAGAATCCTTTAATAAGCCAAATATGTTTTGGTATTTATAATTAATCTTTTGTCCATAGTGGAATATTATGGTTACTTTGTGAATTTAGATATTAAGTATTTTTCATAAGTTCAGGCCCAAAATACTAACTTTCTCCATATTTTTTGGAAACGTGTTTGGTCCCTAATACAAGCTTACTTCGGAGATATTGTAGGTTCAGTCCTAGACTACTGCAATAAAGTGAATATCGCAATAAAGCAAGTCACATGACTTTTTTTTATTTTTCCAGTGCACATGAGAGTTGTGTTTACACTATCCTATGTTCTGTTAGGGAGCTCTGGTGGCGTCGTGCCTAAGGCATTTGGCTGCTACCCAGAAGGCTGGAGGTTCAAACTCACCAGCCACTCCTCAGAAGGAAGGTTGGGCAGTCTACTTCCGTAGTGATACTGCTTCGGAAACCTAAGGAGGGGTCTCTGTGAGTCATATCTGACTCCACAGCAGTCAGTTTTTTATATTCTGTTAAGTGTGCAGTCCAAAAGCCCAAACCCACTGCCATTGAGTCAATTCTAGCTCATAGTAAGTCTATAGGACAGAGTAGAACTGTCCCTTAGAGTTTCCAAGGCTGTAAATCTTTATAGGAGCAGACTGCCTCATCTTTCTCCCACGGAGTAGCTGGTGAGTTTGAATTGCTGGCCTTTTGGTTAGCAGCCAAATACTTTAACCCACTATGCCATCAAAGTTCCTTAAGTGTGCAGTAGCCTTATGGAAAAGTTTGAAATACTGTGAGAGTTACCAAAATGGGAAACAGAGACACAGTGTGAGCACATGCTTTTGGGAAAATGGTGCTGATAAACTTGCTTGATGATGCAGGGTTGCCATAAACCTTCAATTTGTAACAAACAAAACCACAATATCTGGGAAGTGCAATAAAACAAAACATAATAAAAATGAAGTGGAATAAAACGAGGTATGCCTATACTTACATGAAGACACTTGGAGATATTATGGTCTCTTCTAAGGAAGGGCCCACGTTTATATTGAGTAAAATAATGTTGAATTGAATTGTAAATGGAGACAAAACTAATTTTCCCACAGGAGTAAGAATAGTCGGTTTACCTGATCAGTCAATAGATTCCTAGATGATTGTACCATCACTACATTTACTATAATATTTTAGCCTGAACATGAAATCCTTTTTTAACAGTGACAAAGCTTAAGGTTCAGTGAGAGAAAGGTATCTTTAGTCTGCTGGCAGGGTGATAAAGAAGAAATAGCTAAACATTCCTATAATGGGGTTCTGTGTACAATGAAAGAAGCTCTGGTAGTGTAGTGCCTAAGGCACTTGACTGCTAACCGGAAGGCTGGCAGTTCAAACCCACCAGCCATTCCTCAGAAGGAAAGTTGGGAATCTACTTCCATAGAGATACTGCCTTGAAACCCAAGAAGGGGTTGCTATGAGTTGGATCCAACTCGATGGCAGTGAGTTTGGTTTTTGGTTTATGTACAATCAAAAGAAAGATTCTGTTTAACATTAAAAATGAGGAAAATTTCAAATACATTGTTATAAAACGGGTTGTCAAGTTTTTCTGTAAAAAGCCAGATAGTAAATATTTTTAGGTTTTTTGGACCATAGGTACATGTAGCAACTACTTAACTTTGCTGTTGTAGTGTGAAAACATTTATAGACAGTAAGTAAATGGCTGTGTTCTAATAAAACTATTTATAAAAATAGGCAAAACCGGTCCTTGAGCCATAGTTTGCAAACTCCTGTTACAGGTATTTTTTTTTCAACTTATGTATTTCTTTTTTCATTTCTGGAGTATAACAGGAGGGAGATTTTAAGCATTATTTGAAAAATATTGCTTCAATAAATTTAAATTTCATCTCACTACATTATTTATAAAAATTGTTTAATTTTGTTCTTATAGACGGGGTAGCCCTCTGTTGATTGGTGTACGAAGTGAACATAAACTGTCTACTGATCACATTCCAATACTGTACAGAACAGGTAAAAACTATTCCTACATCATGCCATGGGGAAAATTTATGATTAAGTACAGTAGATAATAAAGAATTGTTCTCTTTACATTTGAATAAATGTCCCATTGGTCAGATCCACATTTATGTAGTTCTGTCTAGACTTGAAAAGGATTTGTGTTTGTGATTTCTCTGACTAGTAGACTTTTTTTCTGTTGTATATCCTTAGCTAGGACTCAGATTGGATCAAAATTCACACGGTGGGGATCACAGGGAGAAAGAGGTGGGAAATGCACTGTGCATGGATGGGGAGGAATCTTATCCTCTTTTGCTCAATCTTTACTAATTCATTGTTCTTGGAGTGAATGAATGTGCTGGGCCTCTAAAATTGTGCTTATTTTATGGGAAACATAGTTTGATATTATTTTTTCTAATTTGCAGAGTACATTTTGTCTGTCTGCTTTTGGCATTTAGAAAACTGCTTTTAATAATTTATTTCCTTAAAATCTCTGCAATTTGAGACAGTAGTTGAAATTGTAAAGTTTTTTTTTTTTTCTTTGTGTTAAAATCATGTAGGATAAATTATTAAAAATAGATGCTTAGATTAGAAAAACAGCATGATGTGCTAGGGTATGATAGATAGAACTAAGTGGTGTTTATTTAAAAAATGTAGGCTAACTTTTTTTTTCCTTTTCAATTGTAGCCTAGTTTTTAACCAAAATATATTTAAATGGTTTTTATTTTCTGCATTGCGTTTTACTTTATACATTTATGTCTGATATCTTGATTGGCTTTGTTTGAATTTGGAGTCATTTTTCTTTTTTTTTAAATGTTCATATTTGAAATTTACTTTTCTTTAGGACTTTCAGCTCTATAAACTCTGAATCACTTTATTGAGAAAAACAAAACAAAACAAAACCAGTATGCTGTTTACATTTATTTATTACTGAAAACTTTCCATGTAAAAGACAGGGAGTGGTAAATACAAGAAATTGAAGTTCATATTATTAAATGTATAATTTTTATTTTCTTGATAAAAATTTAGGAAAGTACTTGCAGTGTAGTCATTTTTAGATAGAGGCTGTATTCATTACTATATGTAGAGCAAAGTTATTTCCTTAAATAATTTTCAATCTTGAAATATTAGAATTGCTTATATTTCCCCTCTTTTTCCAGAAGGAAAGCTCATTTGCCCCTGATAATACAGAATTTGGATCCAGAGGATCAGATTCTGTTAATAATTCTGCTCGTGTATATATTATATATATATTATCTTGTGCATTTTCTTGGACTACTTTTAGAAATAATAAAAAAAAAATTGGCTGAGAGGAAAAATTAGTCATGAGATAGAACTTTCTGAGATAAGCTATTATGTTTTAGTAACTCTTACTTCTTTAGCTACTAGGTAGTAAATAATGTGTAGCTTGGTAAAGGTTAGTTGAAAACAAATAGATTAACATATTTATTAACGAGAATGTGTAAAGAGGAGAACACTGGACTAGCTTTCAGGCTTTTACTATTTTCTCTAAGTGTGCCCACTGACTGAATTTAGCTATGCCATCTTTCTGTAAGACAGGGGTGATAATAATAGTATTCCATATCAATCAGATATGATGAGATAATCAAGCTATGGGAAAATATTTTGTGGATAGTATGTGCCTTATAGATGTCAAATAATAATGTTCTTTCTATTTAAATGGACAGTGACATCTCAAATTATTTTAAAACACTTTATAATTAAATGTTACTCGAAGAATGACATAACCAATATTTGGAGGAAGCATATAATGAACTGCAACCTCATTAAAACATTTTATAGCCTAAGGTAATTGTATTTGTAAGTGCTGGGCTATCTTTTACCTATTTTTTAACTCAATTTTCCACAAACAGTAAATTCCCTCTTTTTGATGTATCATTTATACAAGTTTTGTCACAAGCAAACAGTTGTATAACCACCACCACAATCATGATACAGAACCATTCCATCCCCCTAAAAAGTTCCCTCATGCTCCCCTTTTGTAGTCAATCCTTGCTCCCATTCTCAGCCCTTTGCAAAAACTGATCTGTTTTCTCTTTCTATACTATTGCCTTTTCTAGGATGTCATCTTATACGTATTTTTTAAAATGTGGTACCTTCTCTGCTGTTGAATTTGGATGGGAAGAGTTATTTTGTTTTTATCCCCAAAGCACATCACATAATCACGGATGGTGGAGAACTTTGAGTATATATCTTTAAGACTAATTATTACCAAGTCTTTATAAACATTTATTTTAGAGGATAAGTACAATATGAGTTTTTACAAGTGTTTTTCTGATGAATTTCTGGCCACTGTGCCCATAGATTGTAAGAGTGACTGTATTCTTAATGTGCATGAAGGTGCCTCTTAGTGTCTAAGATATTTATATAGTCTTCAACTTGTAAATTTTTTCTTTATTTGGCTAATTTATCAAACTTTTTCAGTATGCTTTTCAGTTTTTCCTTTGATTTGACTTTCACTGTGAGTGAGCACAAAGGAAAGAAATATTCTTCATCAGTGACTTGACAGATTAAGTAGAGATGCTAGAATTCTAAAGTACCAGAATTAAGAGGATATTATCATTGCAAAAGGTCCATCCTTTTTCCTGACTTAAAAGAAGTGTAAGAAAGCACAGTTATAAAAGAGGAGTGGCTCTGGGTTTGTAATATTTTCAGTCTCTAGGAATAGTTGCCTCATATTCAGTATCTTGGTTAGAGTAGTGATAATTGTCTTTTTGTCTTGTTTTGTTTTTAAATGAGAGTTAATTTAGTCTACAGTTTGACTTATGGCAATGTGCTGTTGCAATCTAGAGAATTTTTGGTATACAATAATAAAAATGAATGTGCCCTTAGCCTTCATTTTATTTCTCATTGGACAATTTTGATACTTTTAATGTTATTTTTATTATAAGTTTAGCTACACAGACATATATATTAACTCCATAAAGTTTGACATAAAGTTAAATCAAGATTAGGCTATATATACTTAGGATTAAAAAAAGAGTGATAATAATCAATAATTTGACTTTTACCTGGAAAAATATTTTAAAAAATTAATACAACACTATTATCTGCCACAAATTTCTTGATAGTTGCTCTTTCACTCTACACATTTTGTCTGTTGTTGTTATTGGCTCATTGCATGGAAATAAGATACCTACCTAGCATTTTAAATTGCTGAAATTATTTTGTTTTGCTATTTTTTTTGTTGTTTTGTTCATTTGGTAGATAATAATGCATATTTTTATGTTGTCTATCATTTTCTGCATGTTTGTTGATTCATGTAAATTTTATGTGTAGGCAAAGACAAGAAAGGAAGTTGTAATCTCTCACGTGTGGATAGCACAACTTGCCTTTTCCCTGTTGAAGAAAAAGCAGTTGAGTATTACTTTGCTTCTGATGCAAGGTGAGCTTCCTTAGTTGATTCAAAGAGATGTTTTATAAAACTTTCTCATGCTACTGGAAACCAAGAAGTTATTTTGTATAAATTTAGTTATGTTTTGTAAAAGAATAGAATTTGTTTTTTCAATTAAAGAAATATAGATGTCCATTTTGGAGACAGGCTTCTAAGAATATCTTTTCTCTCAATTCAAAGCACATCAGTCAGTTTACCATGCACAGATGTAGTCCTTGAGACTTGTTCCAGAGTATTTGTATTTTGTTGTTATTCTCTTTTTTTAGGAGCCTCACTCAAATTTTGTGGACAGAAGAGATTTTAGATTGGAGGGTAGCAAAGTCCTCTGTCTTAGCATTTAACCAATTGTAGTATAGTTGCTAAACCACTGTGGTTTTAATCTATTGTGGAAACTTACATTTTAAATTCAGAAGCAATTTGAAGCATAATCATTAATTATGAAGGGAATAAAACTAGACTGACAAATTTTGAGAGAAAATGTCGTGTGATGTTTGGATACATTTATAAATGAAATAGCAGTAATAATGAGGTTAAAATGGAATCACTCAAATTTCCAGCAAGTATTTGAGTCATTCATTGTGCCTGAAAATATGAGGTATTAAAAATGAGAAAATGATGCAGTTTAGGGCTTCAAGGAATGTAATATCTTAGATAACAAGCATCACTGCTTTCTAATTTTTGCAGGTGTATAAAGCTATGTGTAGTCAGTGCTAAGATGTGTTGTCACCGTCATAAATTGGGTTTGTTACTGAGTTGAAGTTACGGGCTTAAATAAACTAAAAATTGCAGAAACAAGAATATCAGCCTGTTTTTAGTCATTCATGCATTTGTATTCAACACTATGATTCAAACTTTGTGTGCTAGGCTCAGGAGACAATTATGAATAAAAATACAAATATTACTTTCCTTTAAAGTGTTCAGAGACTAATGTTGTTGTTGTTGTTATGTGCTGTTGAGTCAGCCCCGACTCATAGCGACCCCTCCTTGGATTTCCGAGACAGTATCACTACAGAAGTTGATTGCCCAACCTTCCTCCCGAGGAGTGGCTGGTAGGTTTGAACCGCCAGCCTTCTGGTTAACAGTCTAGTGCCTTAGGCACTATGCTACCAGAGCTCCCCAGAGACTAATGAGGGAGGTAAATTTTAGTTAATAATAACACAAACACATGTAGACGTCTAACTGTGACAAGAGCTATAGAATGCCTATAGCAAGATGATTTAGCCTCCTGTGAGTAAACTTCTTGAAGGGAACGATCCCTTTAATGGTGGGAGATGAGGAATTAATTGGGTGAAGAGGAGGTGGGAAGAGCATTCATTCTATTAAGATAGATTAGTTTGTGAGATCTTGGAATGGGTGTGAGTGTGCCTAGAATAGAGCAAGAAAGAGTGTGGTGGGAGATGAGCAAGAAAGAGGGTCACATTAAGGCATTTTACTGTTTTCCTGTGAGTTGAAGGGAAGCTATCACATAGTTTTTGGATAAGGGAGAAATGTTGATTAGAGTGTTTTTTAGATGAGCTCTATTTTGGCAATCCAAAAACAGCCTGGAGACATCATTGTCTGCCCTCCTCAAATTTCATGAGGCAAAGAGTATCACCATCAGCATCAGTGGCCCAAGCCTGGTTCCCATGAAGTGGAGGTCTGACATGCCACCCCCGTCCAACTTTCTTGCCAGTTCTGACACCAGCTATCTCTTCTTCCACGACACTGTACTGTGCTGGGTTTGATAATCTGTTGCAGTGTCCACACAGAACTCAAAGACAATACTCATGATGATGGGGTTTATTAGGGAAGTAACAGGTTATAGTGCAGATTCAGGAATGCTCAGGATACAATTACTTGATCAGAACAGTCTCCCCTCGTCTGTGCCTGTAGGTGCACCTCTCTTTGACCCTCAGCCTCTCCACCTGGCCTCTGGCCTCTGCCCTCTTGAGCAAGTGTTACAAATCTCTTTTACCTCTGTGAATGGGTGCCCAGAGAGGCACCCCACTCTGCCAGCAAACCTCCTGGCTGAAGGCACTCAGATTTCTTGCTCCATGGCTGGGAAGGCCACCACTCTGTCTTGTGCCAGTCTCTTGGTTCTCCTGCCTCTTCTGCCACCATTTCTTGCTGTCTCAGTACAGTGTTACAGCTCTTTGATGGGTTGAGGAGGTTCAGGGCAGGGATCTTAGGTCCAAAGGACATACTCTACTCCTGGCTCTTCTTTTTTGATGATAGTGAGTTCTGCCTTTGTGCCTCTAGGATGACTCATCTTAAGCCTAGCAAGATGGAAAACTGACCAATCTCAATGTTCTGTATACCTTCTATACACCTTATTTGCACAGTTCCATCCCCACAAGGATGCCATGTACATTATTTACATTATTAATAAGCTATCTAATCTCTTTGGTAGACCATAAGCACCTAACATTTGTGTAATCCCACCTAGTCATCTGGTGGGAGTCACAAAGACCATGGCTAGAAGAGCCCTTTTAAGTAATTCACTGCACACAGGTAGTAATGGAGAATGGATAGAGCAAGATTGAGAGAACAAGTTAGGAAGTTGGACAAGTTTGGAGGTTGCTGCAGTATTTCAGCTGACAGCTGATGGTAGCTTGAACTAGTTTGTGGTGGTGGACATAGAGAGAAGCTTTGAGACATACTTAGAAGTTAAAATGGAAAGACTTGGCAATAGAATTTGTAATAGAATTCTTCTTAAAGAGGAAATAGCCATGCTTTTGATAAGCTCTAATTTAATTTGGTTTAGGTTACTGTGCAGAGATTCCTTTATTCATTGTCATGGTGACTATCCTCCTCACCTTACTTACTTACTTACTCCTGTAAGGATTGCAGTTGATAACTTGAATGTTCACTGTCCTTTATAGTCTTGTAGAACAAATATGGCTATCAGTGGAGCCCAGTTATCTTTTAAAAGTCTTGCAGTGTACTACGAAAAACATTAATTTGTTTTTAGTTTAGTAAACATTTATTGGGCATATGTTGTGTACCAGTGATCATGCTGAGTATTATAAATTCTAAGAAGAATGAGAGATGGTCCCTGGTCCCTGGGCTGGGATGCTTACATGTATCTGCTCATCCTAGGTTTTCTCTCTCAGATTACAAATGAATAAAGTTGTGAGCTTTAACTTCCCCAGAACTTTCAGGCATTTGCCTGATACTTTATGTGGTTAAAGGCAGAGGCGAGAGTAAAGTACTAACTAGTCTTGTTCCTGGAATTTCTGTCTAGGCTTTTGTCATGGAAATTTGTATACCTTGCCAAGATGAGTTTGAGATGGACAATCTGTGGTCATAAAATGTCCATAACTTGTTTATGGCTGAACCAGTTTTTTAAGAAACTGTCCTTTTATCAAGACTATCTCGTATAACAGGCCACGTTCAGCTCTGCTTTCTACCTCAGAAATCATTCTGTATTTGTACCCTTTCTCTGTTTACTCTTCTTTCAGAGAAAGACATACTTCTTACAGTCAAAACTAATCCTTCCTCTGTGTTTGGTTTGGTCTCCATCTTTTTGTTTCTAAACAAACTCATTTCTCCTTTATTTTAAGAAACAGAGCCTAAAGTTTTCTGTATAATACTATTCTAGACATTTCCCACTTTTCCCTTGTTATTACAGAATTTTTTTGAAGAATGGATTATATTCATATGTATCTTTCTTTTTTTTTCTTTTGTGCCTAAGCACTCCAGTTTGCCTCTCACCTCCAGACCTTTCTGTTTCTTCTATTTCTATTTATTATGCTTTTGCTTTGCTCTATCTTGGCTTAGCTCACTCCTACTTTTAAATATATATATATCTATATATCTATATTTTTTTTACCACTATCTTTTTTATTTATTTGTAAAAAAAAATTTATTGTGATGTGGGTGCAGATTTACAAAGCAGATTCATTTTATATACAACAGTTCATGCACATTTGGTTTCACAGCCCCAATTACGATCCCCAGCCATTAAAAGCTCTCCCCTCATCTCCCTGTCACAGTCCCTTCCCTGTACCCTTCTGATCTGTGCATTCCTATGTGTTCAGCTTACCCTCTATGCAAATGCTGCCCTTCTGATGGCTTGTGGTTGATTGATCTAGGGGGTGCATCATACTTGTATGTTTCTTTTACCACTCAAGTTTCTTACTTCTCTGAGGTCACCAAACCAAACCAAATCTGTTGCCATTGAGTTGCTTCTGACTCATAGCAACTTCATGTGTTACAGAGTAGAACTTCTCCATATGGTTCCTGGCTGTAATCTTTACAGAAGCAAATCACCAGATCTTTCTTCCATGGAGTCACTGGTTAGGTTCAAACCACCAACCTTTAGGTTAGCAGCCAATTGACTGCAAACTACTTGCATCACCCAGGTTCCTCTGAGGTCACCAGTGACCTTTAAATCAGTGGTGACCCCATTTTTCTTTAAATATTGTCAGCATTTGTCACTATTGGTTATCTCTGATTTTCTCTGAATTCTACCAGATTTCTCCACTTTTTAAATTGATCTTTATCAATAAATGCTTCAAGTCTTTTTCACTTTCAGGAAGCAAGGTTGTGTTTTTTGCATATGGTAGATTTTTAATGAGTCTTCCACTAATCCTTTTTCATATAGTCCATCTTCTTGGATTCAATAAGTTTGGTGAAAGAATACAACCCTGACACGTAACTTTCTTGATTCCTATAGACACTTCATACTCAACTCACCTAAAGTTAATATGTTATATTTCACTAGGAGCTCTTCTTCCTGTTATCAAAAATATAGCTTATTTTGGTCAGGAGAATCTCCTTGTTTTTCCACTCAGGGTTATTTCAAGGATCAAGTCTTTCAGGAAGCCTATTCTTATTCCACACATAATTTTATCCTTTTCTGAGCCTGAATAATGGTTAATCTCTTACTTTCCCAGATATTGTAGGTATTTGTGTTTCTGTCTTACATATTCCCTACAGTGTTTTCCATGAAGCCACAGAGACTTGTTCATCATTGTGTCCCATCACGTTAGTCAGTAAAAATTATTTTAAGAAATTAAATAAAACTTAATTAAAAGTAAATGGTAGCATTAGACTTTTAATTGATGCTGCCAGTTGAATGTAATGTTTCATACATTGTATTTGGAAGATGAATGAATGAATCTATACCTTCACAAATAGTGCAAGATGATAGAGTTATGTATTTCACTTTGGTCCTTCTGTCCAAGTGATAGATTGATCTGTAATAATCATCTTTGGTTATTGGTTGTAATATCTCCTTAAACATTTTATAGTGCTGTCATAGAGCACACCAATCGCGTCATCTTTCTCGAAGATGATGATGTCGCAGCAGTGGTGGATGGCCGTCTTTCTATCCATCGAATTAAACGAACTGCAGGAGATCACCCTGGACGAGCTGTGCAAACCCTCCAGATGGAACTGCAGCAGATCATGAAGGGTGAAAGTTTTTGTCATGTTGTATCTTGGTTTTCCTTGGTATCTACCTCCTATCCTACTGTATGAATCTGGTAACACATGCTGGGTAAAATCTTCCATTTTTGCTGAAAGAATAAACCCTAGGAGGGGGATGATCCGTAAGAGAAAGTATCTGATGATCTTATATCAATAGTTCTCCTTCAAACTAATTAGTGACTTATTTTTATTTTTTAAAAAGAAATTAAATCTTTGACATTCTTAAGATACTTTATAAACATAAATACAGTTTTTGTTCTGTTCCTTATTTTTCTGTTATCCTTTTTGTGCTTCAGTTTTCTCATGTGTGAAATAGGGGTAATAGGACCTACCTTATTAATGCTGTTTTAAGGATTAAGAGAGCTAATATATGTAAAGCATTTGGAGCAATGTCTGACACACTTAGTAAAGCCTACATGATGTTTGCTGCTATTAACTGTTATGATTATAGTTCTCCTCCTTTCCTGATGGAGTTGTAGTAGGAAGAAACGCTAATGTTTATTGCATATCTATATGTATATCTATTAGATGTCAATTTCCTTACTATCTTTTATTATTATTGTTATGATTTGGGTGGAAGTTTACAGAGCAAATTCATTTTCCAGACAACAGTTCATTCATATTTTATTTCATGACATTGATTGCAATCCCCATAATGTAACAACTCTCTTCCCACTTCTCCCTGTAGTTACCTTTTCCCTGAATCCTTTCCTGTGCATTCCTGCCCTCTGAGCTATCTCCCTGTGCAAATACTGTCCTTCTGATCTTCCATGATTGATTGTTCTAAGGCATGTACCTACCTGGTATAAATATTCACCTTATATGCATATCTGTTGTTTGACTGGAAGCCACAGGAGTGAGTTCAATTCCAGGCCTGAAGGTTGACTAGGGGCCATAGGCTTGGGGGTTTCACCACCAGTCTCTATCAGATCAGTAAGCCCAGTCTTTTTTATGATTAAGAGTTTTGTTCCACATTTTCCCCCCTCTATCCAAATCTCCTACACTGATCACTTTCCAAGTGGTTGACAGTGGTAGCTGGGCACTGTCTGTTTTTTCTGGTCTTATGGTCATGTAGGCTGAGGTTCACACGGTCCACTATCCCCTTGGACTAATTGTTTCCATGCATCTTTGGTTTTCTTCATTCTTCTTTGTTAGGAATGAGAAGAGACCAATTGTTGCATCTAGATGGTTTCTTGCAAGCTTTTAAGACCTTAGTTGCTACTTACCAAATAGGATGCAGAACAATGTTTTTTGTGTAGTATGTTATGCCAATGGTGCTCGATGTCCTCTGTGACCATGGTCTCAAGCCCACAGGTCCAACAACTCTCTTCCTCAAGGTGGTTGAATGTGGCTAAGAAGTTATCATAACTGCCCCCCTGTTAGTTCTACTTATATGGACATTATTACAGCACATACAAATATATATGTAGAAATACTGCCTGCCAAACTTATATATGGTCATGGGTATATTCCCTTTTGTCTAAACATAACCTAATCATTTAGGGTGTCTACCTATGTATCTACCCATAGATTAATGTTTGTTATTACTGATAATGCAGTATTGTATATGTAAAAGAATTTATCTTTGTTGTCTGTACCTCTCATGCACCTCTCTGTGTTTCTTTGCTATCTTAATTCATACTACAATCCTGTGAAGTAGCTGCTATTCTTGTTTTACAGATTAAGTAATTTCTCCACAATCACTTAGCTAGTAAAGGGTAGAACCATGACTTGAACCTACATTTGACTCCAAAACTTAAGCTTGCCCCACTCCCCTGTTTTGCTGTAACTGCATATTATAGCCATAAAGTTAATAAAAGTGATTTTCCCTCATTTCTCTTCATGTTGGGTAAAATGTATTGAACAGATCTTTTAAGCAGTCATATATGAATGTTGTTCTATGTCACATGACCTTTTTTCACTTTACTAAGATTAATTAAAGGAAATAGATTTTTAGTTATGTAAAATTTCTTTTCCTATTCTTTGGTTTATTTTCCTTTTAATGATACAATCTATGTTATTTTAGGCAACTTCAGTTCATTTATGCAGAAGGAAATTTTTGAGCAGCCAGAATCAGTTGTAAACACAATGAGAGGAAGAGTCAACTTTGATGACTATACTGGTAATTACAAGTGAATTATTTTATTATTACAAAGTCTCCTGTGGGGTTGCCTTTGAGAACCTGAAAGTTCATTAACCTTTTTAGCCTTGTGGCACAAGTATAGCTGTCAGCCATTAGTGGAGCCCAGCCATCTTTTAAAAGTTCTTAAGTGTACCACTAAAAACCTTAACTTCTTTTCAGTTCGGTAGACATTTATTTGATATTTGAGTACCAGGGACTGTGTGAATCCTAAGAAGAATGAGATTTGGTTCCTGTGTTGTTGGGAAGCTTACATGTATCTGTTCAGCTTAGGTTCTCTTAGTTTATAAATGAGTAAAGATGTGAACTTCCCCAGAAACCTTTTAAGTATTTGCCTGATGCCTTATAAAATAACTTCTGTCCTCATCTACATTTTAAAGGTCGAGGTGAGGGTTCAGTAATAGTCTGGAAATTCTGTCTAGACCTTGTGGCAGTTTGTGTACCTTGTTGAGAGGAATTTAAGATCAATAGTCTTAAATCATAATATAGCCATAAACTGTTGCTGAATTCTTTTCTTTTTCTTTTTTTTTTTTGGTAAATCACTCTTCACTGCTCTTTCATCATCACCAGTGTGATGAATAGTTTAAGAAACAAGGTTTGCGTTAAGCTTCTCAGGAATTAGTTTTTTTAAGACAATACTGGTATACAAAAATCTTTTTTTACTAAATCTGTGTCATGTGTATAGTATTAAGTATCTTCTTCATATCACATCCTGCTAATTGATAGAAAATTATTTCTCTGAATAAATACAGGCTTTATATCTTCCTTTTTTTTTTTTTTTTTTGAGCCGCATTAGCCTCTCAGTAGAGATTTGTGGAAGGCTGAATTATGAATTGAATAACCAGTGTGTGCAGAGCACAATGCTGAACATGGTTAAGCTGTCAGGTCTGGAGTCCTTATCGAAATTTCAGGTTTCTTGAAATTACCTCTAACAAACCGAGGACAAAGACCAAATTACTTTGGTTTAAGTTAAATCTTGAAACCCGACAGCAGGTCTTAGTCTCCAGTCAGACTTGGGAATTTTTGAGTATAGAACTGTGGGAGCCACTCAGTGCCTTAAGTAGTGTATTTATTACTTGATGGGTACTCAATGAATATTAATGGACTAATTAAATGATTTACTCGTGGAGTGGATATGGACAATAGGAGCAATCAATAATGACTCCTAGGTTTTTGACTGGAGCCACTGGGTAAATGGTGATAGCATTTACTGAGATGAGAAATACACAAGTGAGTCTATATTGTGTACAGAGCATGTTCTTGGCATCGTACAGGAAATGAAGATAACTAAGATAATTTTTCCCAGGCAGGTTTATCAAGATATAATTTAGATACAATAAATCATACCCTTTTCAGTGTATAGTTTAAAGACAAATCTCCACAACATAATCATAATCCTAACTTCCCATAATGGTCAAGATGTAGAACAGTTCCATAATTCCAAAAATTTCCTTGCCCTCCTTTGTACTCAATTCCTTCCCAACCCCAGCCATTTAAAATGACTAAACAAGGTAGAATGTGATAAATACTGTATTGTGTGGGTATGTAAGGTTAATTACAAGTTTGAGGGTATAATTATTTTGACATACTTGATTTTTCAAAACTATCAAGAACTGTTCTTTTTTTATGTATGTGTGGTGAAAATATATACACAACAAAACATACTCCCATTCAACAGTTTCTACATGTACAGTTCAGTGACATTAGTTACATTCTCCAGGCTGTATCATCATTCTATCTCTACTCAAATTATTTCACCCGTTAACTCTGATTCACTGCTTCCTAAACTTCTCATCTATGCTTTAGAGTTACTATTGTTGAGAAATACTCTTCTTAAGAAGAATGTAAGTTCTTTATAAGGTCATTATTGTTTGCCACGTTGGTAATGGGTGCTCCAGAAAAGTGATTGCCTATTTCGTATGATTCTTTTGTGATTAATTATATACATACACTTTTATTTCAGTGAATTTGGGTGGTTTGAAGGATCACATTAAGGAGATCCAGAGGTGTCGGCGTTTGATTCTTATTGCATGTGGAACAAGTTATCATGCTGGTGTAGCAGTAAGTTGCTTCTTAACATTTTAATTGAGTGTTATGTTGGGTATTAGGAAATATCTGCAAACAAATACCATGTAAAACTGTCTTTTGTTAAAATACCCTGTTCTTTTTTCATGTTTATAATAATAAAAATCAAGAAGGTTGAGGGAGAAATTTTAATAGCTGCTTGGAATTATTTATCAGTGGAAGATCTGCTCTAGAAAAGTCCTTAGATTATCAGATATACCACCTGAAACTGACTTCATGAAAAGCAGAGTGTGGAGATATTTTGGGGAGTTTTGGGAGCCTCCTAGACATTAGTCTAGGGAGGAGTCCTGCTTCTATAGAGCAGTCATTGGGTTTTCCTTACCATTGTTCACTTGCTCCAGACAGATGGCAGTAATGAACATGAACTTTAGTAGGAGTTTGCGTGGTAGGTCCCTGTCTGCAAAGAGATGAAGGCTGCTCTTTATCAGGCTCTTCCAGTGTTAATTTGGAAGCTGAAGTTCTGAATTAAGGACGTTTATTGATTGTTAGTACAGAAGTATAGAAATGTAGGGGTCTTTAGTGCAGTAAAGGAGTTCTGGTGGTGTGGTGCTTAAAGCATTCAGGTGCTAACCATGAAACGGTTGGCAATTGAAATTCACCAGCCACTCCATGGGAGAAAGATGAGATAGTCTACTTCGATTAAGATTACAATCTTGGAAGCCCTGTGGGGCAGTTCTACTCTGTGCTATAGCATCTCTATGAGTTACAGTTGAGTTGATGGTGGTGGGTTTGGTTTGGTTTTGGTTTAGTCCAGTAAATCTCACCCACATGTAGCTTCTTTATGAAGATACAGTTTATGTGCCGTGATGTCGTCTCTCATAAGTAAAGTACAGAAGACCATCACACGCTGTTTATACTATTTGAGATGAATTCCCCAAACTGATGACATGTTTTTCTTTGTTGGGGCATAATTATTTTCTTAACAGTTGTAGGAGGCAGTCATTTAGTGAGTGAAACTTGCTGGTCACCCAGCTCTTGTATTTCAGCAAAGCATAAGTTTTCTGTAAAGCCTTTTTTTGCCTTTATGAAAAAAACTTCTGAAAAGAAAATGTATGTAGTATTGAGTGGAAGAGTCTTGGTGATATTTTTGAGCATGGAGAAGAAGAATGAATTAAAGATATTAGTGTAAATTAAAGAAAGGACTGGCTAGTTCAGTGGTGGTTTGACCTAGTACTGAATGAGAACTCCGTTCAGAAACAAAAATAATTGATGGTGTTATTTGATTGTTTAGTACAGTGCAAAGCCTGAATTTTTGGGTGGAA